TCGTTGATGCAGCCTCTGAGCTCGCCCTTCTGGCCAAAGTAGTTTATACCGATGAGCAAAGCCTTCCTCTTACCGGTACAGTTGGAGTACTGGAAGGTGTAGCCCTCGGGTGCACCATGCCCGAACTGCTGGGGAACGTTAGATGGCGGAGGAGGGTGGTACTGCTGGCGGTTCTGGTGACTGGGAGCTGCGAGAGGATACCCATAAGCGTCAAGGCCAGAAGGAGGAGGGTGAGAGGGTGGGGGAGGGCGGTTGTATTGTTGTTGAGGTGGTTGATGGTGTTGTTGATATCCACCGCCACCGCCGTATCCGCCATAGCCTTGACCTTGCTGCTGCTGGTAACCGTAATTTGGCTGCTGCTGCTGGTACCCTCCATACCCTCCCTGGCCTGGAGGAGGACCTGGAGGAGGAGCGTGGTAGTTGCCGCCGCCATATCCTCCACCACCTCCATATCCGCCGCCGCCCGAATAACCTCCTCCTCCTCCTCCTCCACCGTTGTAGCCGTGATGGTCCTGAGAACCGTAGTGCCCCTGACCGGGGTAGCCGCCTCCGTACGACATTTCAAAGCAGATCAAAGTCCCCGTATGAACGGCTTGCACAAGTGGTCTTATCCCAAGTTCCTGATGGTGTGTGTGAGAATGAGCTGCAGGCAGCGGGTGGGTGAAATGCTGATGTTGACGGGGGGAAATGGGAGTCCAGCCAGTGGTATGCGGCTACTAAAGCTAAAGGATTGACCAGCGTGTTCGCTAATAAGTACTTACTACCGTAGGTAACCAGATGACTAGCACAGACCTTGTGAGAGGGACAGCACGCGTGTTGTTTGGAACGAGGCAGAGCTGGGGAGAAATTTCGAGTCTATTATTAGTTCAGATTTTTGTGAGGTAACCAACAGAAGTATTACGTGGGCAGTCACAGGGCAGAGGGAATTGGCCGGATGGGTTGAGACAGTGCTGACTGTGGTCGCGCTGGGCTGATGGATGCCGTGCAGGTGGTGTGAATGAATGAGCGCCCGCCCAGACCAGCGCTGGAGGGGCAGAGCTGAATCGCAGCCCAGCAACGCCCCGGAAGTGAGGGGCAGAGGGACCCTTGCAGTGGAGGGACGTCGCATGTAGGGGTGCATTAGCCTCACTGCATCACTGCCTCAGGGCTGGGCTGGGCTGGGCCACGCTTTCCCCAGCCACGGCCTCCGAGAGCTCCCACAGCTCTCTACGACAGGGCTCGCCCACTGCATTCATTTGCCTAGGCGTTTGCATGGACCATAGCCAGCCCTAGGAATCGCCTAGTACGGCGCTCGGCTAGGATCTGCCAGCTAGAGCACAACCATTGCCTGCAAACTACAGCTGCTGCGAGCTTCTTTTTTCCTCCATTCCGTTCTGCCAAGATGGCTCTCGGCAAGCACGCCAGCTCCGTGCTAAGCCGTTGCAGGTGTGGCTCAAGCAGGTGCGATGCCGAGACTTGCTGACGCGGCCTCATGGTAATTCTCTACGTCGCCACTTTCTCACCGCAGGAAGTCGCTCTTGGCACTTGCAGCTCATCCACATCGCCGTGTATGTATTCATGTATTGAGGTCACCAGAGGTCCCCTCTACCTAACCCAACAGCAGCCGCTGATCCCAGGCCGGCGCCCGACACGGCCCGACCCTGCCCCAAGCAAAGGACATACCAATGCCAACTTAAGCTAGTTGTGGCCTACGAATGAATGACTGGAGTCACCAGATGATTGCCGTGTATTCAGTGCCACAGGTGTTTGTTCAGTCACAAAAGATAGCACATGTGCTTACAGCTGCTAGCAGCCCACTGGCCTCCCTGTTGCGGCCCGCAATGGGGTGCTCATGGGTGATGGCCTGCAGGTCATTGGGGCCTGCCCATCTCTTCCGGCGCTGTGTTCTGAAGCGAGTCGCATCATTGATGGGCCAAGCAGATAGACAGGTAGACAGGTAGATAATATCTGTAGGTAGTAATACTCCAGACATGCATATGTAGGCACATTGGTTCTGTGAGCAGGCCTGTTGACATGCAATCCCCCCACCATCAGTCCCCGATTCCTCCCCAAGCTCATGTGCCATCCTGCCTTCAAGAAATCCTCCTTCCTACCACAAACACCTCACTCGAACTTTCTCTTCCCCAGCCAAATTCCCCCGGGGCCCTCTTCACAGCACTCAGGCTCCTGCCCTGAGAACCTACTAATTCTGAACCTCCGACCAGGTGTGCTACTTTCCCCGCAAGCACCCGCTTGAGACGCATGCTTGTAACACCTGCTACAGGCACCTGACAACAGACGGACCACTTGCCATCTGCCCCAACACCCCTACCTTGCCTCCATCTCTTGGCTTCCACATTTTCGGACAAAACATCCTCTTTACCACCCCTTCCCTGTCTCGTGCGGCAGATAAACGGGCGTAACTCTTTTCGAATTGAGTTGGCGGCCTCCTGGAAGAACAGTGAAACTTTCCCTCATCTTTTCTCTTGGCTCATTTCCAGCCTCCGCGCTGCAGTCCTCAGATCCAGGCCTGATAGTCAGCTGGCAGAGTTGAGTCGCAAGCTCGCGCAAACCTGAAGACTTGCGGTTTATTTGTTCATTTCCCCCCGCCATTTTCTCAAAGAGATTGTGCACTCGGTTCGAAGCCAACCAAATACATTCACCATGTCTTTCTTTAGCAAGATCGCCAAGGAGTTCGAGGGCCTAGGCCTCGGAGACGAGAAGAAGGAGAAGAAGGAAAAGTACGAGGAGAAGGTGGAGGAAGTGCCACCTCCACAGTATCAGCAGAACAGCCAGCAGAATCAGCAGGGCTACCAGCAAAACTATCAGCACACCCGTGAGGAACACGGGGGATATGGTTGTATGTCCGCCCTGCGTACCAAAACTTGATGTTCATCTCACTAATTGTCGTTGGTAGCACCTAACCCTTCCGGTGGTCCATCCTACGGACAACATGGAGGCTACGACAGCCCCAGCTCTCCCCCTCCTTCGCAGTATCCTGCCTCTCCCGCTGTGCCTAATTATCAGCCACCCTCTGACAAGCCCCCCTTGCCCAATGGTTGGAGACCCTTCTTCGACCAGCAGTACCAGAGATGGTATTACCTAGAGGAGGCCACCGGACGAACTCAGTGGGAAGCGCCCGGCTACCAAGCTTCCTTCCAGGACGGTTCCGACTCTAGAGGAGCTGGAGGTGACCACGGACATGAAGCACACGGAGGCGGCTATGGCTATTCTCAGGGCGGCCATGGTGATGGCGATGATGGCCATCGTGGCGACGGCGATTACGGAGAGAAGTCTGAGGAGAAGAAGGACAAGAAGGACAAGAAGGACAAGCAGGACAAGCAGGACAAGAAGAGTAATAAGGGTATGTACTTGGCCGCTGGTGCCGGTCTTGCCGCGGGAGCTGTGGGTGGAGCCTTGCTTTACAATGCCCTTGACGACAGTGATAGCGATAAGGAGGAGCATCATCACCATTATTATTCTGGTGGAGGTGGTGGTGGCCACAGCCAATACGCTCACGAAGAGCATCACGAACACAGGAGCGACAGTGACAGAAGCAGCAGCAGCAGCAGCAGTAGCGAGGAGGAGGAGGAAGAGGAGTACTCAGACTAGTCCAAACCCTGTGTGTTATCATCAGGCTTCTCTTCAAAGGTCAGGGGAAATTTCAGGTCACCAATCGTCAGATACGAATTGTAGTGCCTGATCTTTCTTTCCGACTCATTTCTCTAGCCTATCATGGGAAGCAGTTACTGTCTTACAAGCCTGCGGGTAAAGGCATGATGGTATGATTTTACGAGCTACGTAGTCGCATAACCTCGCCTCTAATTGAAACGTTTTACACAATTGGGTTGTTGCCCTACTCTTTTCTCGCTTGTGACCTTTTGTGTGAGCTTTCGAACAATCATTCCCAGCTGACGGGCGAATTCGCTTTCAAAATAATAAAACAAGCGTGGTCTATAATGACTGGATTGATAAAAGTTCAAGCCCTCTTCAATCCAATTAGAACTATTAGAGAATCGAGTCTGCTCTTAACTTCTTGGGTTGGATCAAAAAGGCTCTATAACATGTATTCGACCAGGTTGTGCTCCTCCATTTTAGCCAGACTAGGAAAACGAAGAGCAAGAATATTGGACCTTCTTCTATTCCTATGATTTGGGTTCGTATAGAAACACATTGAGGCTTTTGGGTTTTCCACTGCCGTTGAAATAAGGTTAAAACTTGATATCAGGGTCCCATGTACAAGTGGCTATTTAAACTATCGTCCCTTGAGATCCAGAACAGCTGCCAAGAATAGAAAGGGCTGATAATCAAATACAACGCCGTTGGATACGTAAATGCACTGGGAATTTAGAATAATATATTTAAAATCTAAGAATTTGCCGTATCGCCGTCTTTCAGATTGAATTAGATGCTATATCCTTTAACGGCTGCGAAGAGCACGAAAATCTGCCAAGGAATGGTACTCCTACAGTTAGCAAATATTAATCAACTAGAAAAGGCCTCGGTATCTTACATGTACTCAAATTTGCCAAGGAATAGTATTCCTGCAGTTCCTAAACATTGATAAACTGGAAAAGGCCTCGATGTCCTACAAGGACCGAAATTAGAGCATAGAGTATACCGTGGTTTATTCATTGTAGATGTCGGGTCTGGCTGGCATCTTTCATTGCTGTTTTTACTTTTGTACTGGAACTCTCACAGTATACCGTGATGATTAAGTAGGTAGGTACATGTGTGTAGATCTCACTTTGAAGAAACAACGGGGGCGAGCTACGTCTGTTCGAAAGTACTGAAGTTCTGATGACTGCCCTCAGCTGAGTAAAGCAACTACACTGACTAATGTACCTACTGGAAGTAAAATTTTATTAAAGAATTAAATTAATTTAGAACCGATTCCGCTGTCAACTTAGTCGACTTGGTTCATAGTGGCTGATGCTAAACAAATTCCACTCAATCAAATGCATAAACTTCGTAATTATTTCTATTCGGGAACATGTAAAATCCCTTTGCGGATAGAGCCATCACCGTCGCTTTTCATTTTTGCGTGCGCCATTCAGTAGCCTGGTGGCGGCGAGTCCCCCAATCGCCGACTGTATCATGTGTCTCGTGCTCCTCTCTTCCGGGTCGCGGCCCATGACACGGTCTGTGATGGCGGCGCCTACGGCCGCTGTGGCAACCCGTGCCCCCTTTGAACCTGCCCAGGGCCCAGGGTGGTGCCGTACTCTGATGGCTTCGATGGCTGCTGCGTCGAGGGCCGCTTTGGCAGCCTGCCCGAGGCGCTCGTCCTTGTGTGGGACACTCTTAGCACGGCGCTGCTCTTTGTGTTCGCTGCTACGTCGAGGTGAATGTTTCAGCGGGGGGGAGTCGTATCTGCGGCTGTGCCTATCTGGATGGCGATTGCTGGATGGGTATTGATGACTTGGGGTAGAGTGGCGGTGATGGCGCCGATCTGGGGAGGGCGAGTAGTTTCGTCGCCGGTGCATGTCTCGAGCAGAGCTCCTAGGCGGTTCATGGTGGCGACTGTACGGATCTAGACTTTTACTCCTTTTGTGGTCTGGGGACCGCGCTCGCGGTCTTCGGGTGCCGTGGTCTCGATAGTCTCTATCCAGGCTGTAGAAGTTTTCGCGACGAGGCTCACGACGAGGCTCCTGGCGAGGGTGCCTGCGATGATAGTCCGCCATTATTTGCAGAGTAGGTAGGCGATTAAAGATTGGAGGGGAGAACAGACTGTCTCAATAGGTGCCGAGAGATAACTGGCTGGATTTCTTATACCTTCAGGCATCCTTTACTGGACAATTAAAGATGAAATCGTGAGGCAGGTCGAATCCTGTTTCGTACATCGTCCTCAAATTGACATCATCCACTCATCTTCCCTCTCTCTCCCTGGTGAAGTCGCCACACGAAAACATGGAGGGAGAGAACACAGACGTCATAAATCTGGAGAAAAGGATTTGGTGGTGCCAACAGCCCTCCATGTTACCTTTTTTGCCCATTGAAATAAGTGGTGGTTGGAGACATTCAAGGATGTGGGTGGCGATCGCGACAGGGAAGCTGCCTGATCACGATTGCTGCCTGCACCAATAGCATGCTCTTCGATCTATGCGCCCACATGCAGCTCCCATAAAAGTGAGGCATCATTGAACTATCTTTGCTTTATTATCTGTTTCATATGAAGGGACGCGCTTGCTCGGATGACGTGTTGGCTTGGCTATGAAGTCATTCCATCGCGACTGTGGAGGGTTTGTTGTGCTTGCGTTTCGAAAGAATGAGATGTAGTATCTCTTGGGACTTTCGTGCATCAATTTACCTTTCTTCCAGCGCTGTAATTGGGATGGACGCCAGCAAACATCGGGCCACATAATGCGACGCGTTACTTTGACGAAGAGATGATAGCCGTCTATGGCAACTGCGATGTTTTGACCCTGGAAGAGGTGAAGGTATGGGCGCCTCCTGCCAATACAGGCTCAGTAAGCCGTCGTTTTCGGTATCCTTGAATTGATGTCCTTGTATTCACAAGTTTCATCACTCTGAACCAGGAGACTATAGCCGATAAGTATTCCGTATTGATTGATCTTGTGGTTCGAGCCGTCCACGACACCCTCACCCAGACGCGCGATGGAAGCTCGCGATTCCAAGGAGCAACAAAAATATCAAATTATTCATTGTAGAACTGATGAATGTTTCAACAACATGAATCGATTTATTGGAATCCCATGGCAGGTTTTTGAGTAATCAAGGTGTTCGAGTGCATAAGTCGATACAAGGAGAGGTGGGATTCATAAAATTAATGAAAGAGAGAGATTTTTTATCGAGCATTGGATCTCTTTATTATCTTTGCTACAAGAAGATTCATTTTGTCCAGATCTAAGAATTACTCTCGAACTAACCCACATCTCTGTTCAATTGAAAGCAAGTGATCTTGAACCATCTCTCCAACCCTACCCAACCGTGATTCATTTGAGCGATTGGCAGAAAAGCTCCCACCTGAGATAAAGCCTACTAATCCAAGACATTATAACACACTCGTAGGTTCTCGTTCTGTTCTACATGTTGTTGCAGAAGCCGACCATGGAACATAGCTAACCACGACTCGGAAATTCCCTAAATTATCAGGTAATTCTTGATAACAAAATGTCTCCTTCCTATGAAATGTTGTCGAATTCGGCCACAATTCCAGGTATCGATTTTAACATATTTTTAATTGATCTATGTAAGTTTGCATTGTACATCTAGAGACAAAATAAGCAGGCTCAAAATCAGCCCGACTTTCAGCTCCAAAGTTCCAACTTCAGTTGCATACTAAGTCGGAAAAGGAGACCAGCCACCACGCAATTTCTCTCCCACCTTAGCGTCGTTTTCTCAGTACCAGTTGGGTAGACTATAATGCCCGCATAATATGATAAGTCCTCGTCTTTATGATATAAGCCTATCCGTAGCTAGACCGGCTTCGGAATCAGATCCGGGGATGCCGGGCACCTACGTAGCCGTAACGTTATCGGTTTGAAGCGCTAAAACATCCATGCTAGGCTACGGGTTGAGGCCACTGTCTGGCCCGGGGCAAAGCTTGTCCAGGGTAGTTCAGCCAGCCCTGTAAGGTAGTTCCACTAAAATTGAACTGAAGTTGGGCGATAGGTGCCCTGACGTTCACTGGCAGATACGTGAGGGATCCCAGCTCCATGATCACGGCGCTCTGTTTTACTGGCCAGTAGAATACTCAGAATCAAACCCAACCATTGGCATTCTTTTTATATAATCATCCTCGTTATCTATCGCACACGCACGCACCGCACTGATATCTGAGTTGGGCTAATAAGCCGCCACCAAGACCCATATGCATGTAGGTACTACGCCTTTTGAAGGCACAAGAGCCAGGCTGAACTCTGCCGAGCCTCGTAGGTCCAGCAGTAGTCAGAACTGTCCCTCGTCTATCTCTGCCCACATACAGCTGGGAGGCGAAACGCGGCAGAGATTTCGCAGGGGTTGAGACAGCCTAGATGTCTATTCAGCTCTTCTTGAGCTGGAATATTCCAAGACATGTTACGACAGCCACTTTGCGCCATCTTTTCGGATACGAAAGTGAGGCGGACCGACCTTTAGTATCCATCCTGTGGTTGGGTAATTCGCACCTAAATTGCTTGCGAGTGCACCCGGCTTCAGCCTTCCCGCTCCAATGCTTACCCTACACCGCCTCGATCGGTAACTTGTCCTTAGCCCCGCTTATGCATTTGATCAAGATCCGTATACAATGTGAGATATTAATGTGTAGAAAAAGAAAGGAAGTGATGGGGATGCGAGCGAAGCGAGGGCAAAGAACAAATCATCACATGGTGACAAAGTGGCGTTGCTGACCCTTGGAAGTTGTGAGCTGAGAGATCACTAGTTCAAACGAAAGAAATACGAGGTCGGCGAGAGAGGTTTATATAGCTTGGATTGGTCGAATGGCATTTTCGAATTGCGATGGCGTGAGTATTTGTTTCGGTTGCACTCGCCACCTCATCACCTTGCAACACGACTATCACTTTGCACTGAATGGCCCGCTCACCCCGTAAGATTTTTTTGTTCTAAGTGAGACAGAAGAGTGGGACCTACCTAGCCATTGGCTCAGGCAAACTCTTTAGTGATGCATGGTGGTGGCCCAGCCGCGCCCTCCCCCCGTGCCGCCCACAGACTTTGCCCCCCCCAGCGCCAGCTATTTGGCCTTTTGGGAGCCAGGTCATGCAGGTGAGAACTGAGATAGCTGGCAATAGTTGTCCCGGTATGACCCGCTCCCTCATTGGCTTGAACGCACCTGGAGAGGAGGCTTGTGCGGACAGGGGTCTATCTTTCAGCTGCGATGGCCATCTCCCATCACATCTCCTTCTGGAATATGACCTCCTGCTTGATTTGAATTTTTGATTCACCTCTGCATAATTTAGGGTGAATTTTGGAGAGCTGAAAGATTTCTGGATTCAAATCCAGCTCTCCATCGTCAGCATACTCAGAACTTGGGTGATCTTGGGTGCAGTCGTACTCGGTTAGAATGTGGCTTGTCTTCCTAGCTGCTTTCTTTTCCTTTTTCCTTTTTTTTCCTTTTTGTTTTTCGGAAGCAGGACTGCATTGAGAGATCCGTAAATAGCTTGTAGCGAGCTTTTTGTCGATCCATGGCACACATAACGGTGGAGTTACAGTGACCTTTCCTGCAGTGAATGAGCCTATCTTGGACTCTGTGCACAAGATGCAGACCTTGTCAAGTCTGTCACCCCACACACCCTTAATGACTTCTCTGTATTACATATTTTGGAGTAATGCGAAATCATTCTTCTACATGTTATAATGTGCATAGCTCTGAATAGCCACTGGATAAGTTTGGATAGGTTTGGATATCGTACGATTCGTGGGTAGGCTCGGTGAACGACTTGATTGTGCTCCGAGCTTGATCGGTGCATTTTGTGCAATGGAAAAGATCTAGATCATCCGCGGGATCGATGTCTCACACGCCACCATCCATAGCATAGGTGACTGATACCACCACCCATGATCTCTCATGTAAGATTGGTGCGGAAACAACAGCGTGGACCAGTCACATCCTCCACTGAGCAGATTTCTTGCTTTCTTTTTACTGGATGACGCTTTGGCCCGAGATTTAGGGCCCCAAGCTGCAACATGCTTAATGGCCGCACCTGGACACCGCAACAAAAGAAAGCTCTTGACATGGTAGCCCGGTCAAGCCGGTGTGCCCCGCTCAGATGGTCCTGATCATATTTGAGAATTGCCCATTCTTCCTATTGTGGAGGTCTAGGCCCAAATCCCGATCACACGAGTGCACTTTCGATCGCAGGTCGATTTAGTCCTCGACGTCATTCAGATTATATCCAAAGCGAGTTCGAATGGTGTCGGAGAAGTCGGTATACAAAAACCGACGAGATCCCCCCTCATCCGGCTTTCAGAATATGTATGTTTCCCCTTCTCTTAACCCCATGCTCCTTCCATCCATGACCGTCCTTGGGCCATATGCCATGCTCCCTGGCCCAGTCATCTGACTACATTGGAGCAATTTCTTTGAGCCCCTGCCAGCACTACCCAAGTTAACTGTTTTTCAAAGATATTTGTCTTAATTTTCTCCACGTCGGCATGGACACGGGACTACCGCGTCCAATTGCTCCCATGGCTCTGAGCCCGAGCAATGAGCTCCACAGGGTTGAGATGGCTCGCAAGGCCCTGCAGAAGGACCAGACCCTCACCAATCGCCAATCCAATGCCATGAACAAAGCCATCGAGCTTCTCAGCGAATCCAAGAAAGGCGGACGGAATGGTCGATACCACTCGCGCGACCTTCTCCTCGATATCTACCATCGCTTTGGTATCGATGTGCTCCTCTTATGTAGTGCCTCGCTATCCATCACGAAGCTGGGCGAGATGAAAAGAAACGCCACCCAATTCTTCTGCGAGCTAGGAGCGTGGAAGATGTCCGCTGAGATTACCCCAGAGGTTCATGATCTGGCCATGAAGCTGTTGGCCCCGGTGCTGTCAGAGATTACGGCCAAGAAAACAAACGAGACTGAAGGTTGTTCCACGGCGGGCCCCAATCAAATAAAGAGGCATCAGAGACCTGTAGGCTGACTATGGATTGATTTCCTGATCGGATAGCCTTAGAATCTGACTCTACTCGCAATGATGGGAAAGGCAAACGGAAGCTGGTCGTCAAGAAGAAGCCGACACCCGCCAAACGTAGGAGAGTTGGTTTGAGTGAAGAGCCCGTGGACAACACCCCAGGCCCCGGCGGATGGAGAGTTCAACATCCCACACCCAATGAGCAGAGTGTAGATGCAAACAGCTACGCTAGGACCGAATGCGATGAATCGGTGAAGGAGGAGTCCCAGACGCCCCCTGCCTCGCACTCCACCATCACAGTTGCTCGTACCTCAGAGGATGGTGAGTTCAGCCTAACCATACATGGAGCTTCAATGCTAATAGAGAATGGAATAGTTCCGCTGTATGCGACCGTGGTGAAGCTGAAGACTATGGATATCTTAACGGCGATCGTTCTCCAGGGGGGCCCCGATGGCTACTTGACCATTCCAGATAACGAAGGGTTAACGAAGCCTTTCATCACAATCCAGTGCCCAATGCCACTGGCTCTCGGCTTTAAGGCCAACAAAGAGCCCATGAAATGGTCTTGAATATATGAATGTATGTCTTTTGCGGTTGTTCTTTTGAGCAGTTTGGATGGAATCATGAGGCGTTGAGACAGGGTGAAGCGTTCACATTCTTCACATGATGATTGTTTAGCAATCAAGGAGGACTTTATGACTGGAAATGCAAATTGAATTGAAATTAAATGCTTCCACTACGCTGAATCACAGAGTCAGTCAATGTTACGATTCTAGTCACCTTGGAGCAACTTTGTCCATCACAAATTGACAGTGACGAATCAGTCGGTCAATTGTGATATTACTCATTCCTTAATTTTACTTGTACACAAACCGATAATTGGATTTCTTTGGTATCGAAAGCCCTGACTTAGTACCGTCAACATATCGTTATTGCAATCCGGGGCTGCTATAGCGCCCGATGCTGCCACCGAGACGAGAGACGACGGGCGCAGTTTTTGAATTGACACAAGTCATTGATAGGGCGTAATGCTTGACTGAATATGCTAGTTGTACTAGGGAGAGAATCTATTTATTGCATGAAAACGGAGGCTTTAAACAGTAAGATCTGACCCTGAGGGGTTTGTTTTCAGATGTGCTAATGTACTTCATGATGAGTAATTACTTATCGGATATCCATACTCAGAGAAGTAACGAACACTCTTAGAAAAGCATACTCCACTGTTCACATTCCTAGGGCGTTGTGGAAGGGAAGAGATCACATTGCGAAGGTGTCTTTAGACGGTGCTTCTCATTACCACCACAAAATAAGGCAACGTGCCGGGGAAAGAGAAAATGCAAAAGTTCTCTTCTTGAAATTCTTGCCAATAGTTTTTTAGGATCTTTCTCCAACCGCGACCGTAAAAAGAAGCGCCTTCGGCATGTCTAAAATCTACTTTTGATGTACCCTATATGCCACCGCTAGTAGCACCTAAGGTGCTCGTCATCTATGTGATATATTGCACTTAGAAAAGTGCAGGAGGCTTCGAGTTTGTTCTTTAACAATTAAATACCGTGAATTTACACTTTGGCAATTAAGCAAACAGTGCCTATCGAGAGAGTGGGTTAGAAAGATGTTGTGCGAGGGAAATATCCCGAGAAAGGGACAGCCGTACGGGGCCAAGTACCAGAGAGCTTGGGGAAGAATCAACCGTGCGTAATACATGGTAGCTCTTGACCCCCATTCAAGCTCCTACCCCTAGATTGTGAATTTCCGAGATAATGGTACACGTTATCTCCGCCGGTGAGCTGTCGCACATGTTGTCTCAGGGGGTTGGGGATTACGCTCGCTTGCGTTGAGGAAACACGAGTGAGTGAGAAACCAGGGGTGTAGGGCCGAAGTAATAGTGAGAAGATGGGGTATGTCTTCTAAACGGTCGCTTAACTTGCTGGAATCCTGGGGACAGACTGGATGGGACAGCAGCCGAGACATGTGGATAGGTCAGGACGAAAGAACATGCCAAGGGAGCTTCATGAAGTTAAACAGTTATCTCGAGCCCCCTGTCCACGGGCATATTACGTTTCGTTACGCCAGTGCTGATCATCTGTTTTGTTCTCTCTTGTCTGGAGAGCCCTACTGGTGCACGCCGAGTAAACCCTGTACACATTCCAACTATTAAGATTGAATCACACGATAACCCACACAACGGGAATTCCAGACCGGCTTGAATTGAGACCCGCGTGGCAATGGAGACTGGCCGTCATGTCATGATCCGTGACCGGGGTTAGGTAGAAGGGGTGGCCTTAGAGTCATGTTTGAGTCGATGAATGTCATGCCCTAGAACGTTGTCCCGCGCCGATCCGATGTGCATCTACATTTTCACTCGAAAATGTAGGCATTCTCATCCTGAATCGCATGCTTTCCAAGACTTCTCATCAACAACTACAGGACCACCCAACTTATTTACTGTTCGATACAACAATACTATTTTGCTCTAGCCCCTCTCAAACTCCCACAATGGCCTGTCGACATGTCCTCACCTACATATTCGCCCTCCTTGCATTTGCGTTAGGAATTCATGGCCGGGCACTACCGAAATGCCAGTACCAGGAATACGCTTGTGGGAACGACCTAGTTAAACGAGGTATTATCACACTTTCTCATTCGCCCTTTCACCTCGCTGCGGTTTCTTAATATCTGAGCTAGGTTACACGAACACCGATCTTCGGGCAGCGATCGCAAAACTTCCATCTGGGATTATCCCACCCACTCTCAGTAATGTGCAGCTTCTCCAGGTTCTTTACCACTGCGACGACATCTACAATTCTATATCTGGGAATGCCTTTTGTGTTTCAGGATGTATCGTCATCGCTGGTTCATTAGCTAATGACCAATGCTACATGTAGGTGAAGGACGACAGGAGAGACGGAGACCGGATCAATAACAATGTACAGGAATGGCTTCAATATCCCTACGCCGCCCCAGAGGAAAAAATGATAACGCATTAGTTTTGGTAGTAATGCTGCGCAACGATATGGAGGGAGTTGAGTTCGATGTGTGCAGGCACACAATGTTATTCAAGACCAGTGCCAACTGCTTAGAGAATGACCGAGATCAGTGACTGAGACGCAATAGGATACGATAGTCGTGGAAAAGTAAATAGTTGTCTGGAAAATGTGTATCTATCTGGTCAGCCTTTCTGCTTGGAATTACGTTCTGGAGTGATATGAGAACCTGTACGCTTGAGGTGCCGGAAACGGTATTGTGAGTAAGGTAAATTACGAATTCGGCCTAGTAGAATACTCTTTAGGAATTCCCCAAATAATGGTCGTTGACCCGTGAAACAAGGTATTTAGAAGAACCCATTGATAGACTAGTAGGGGTAAGGAGTAATGCTATCAACACGAAGCACCGTGTGATCGGCGATCGCGCTAGAGATTTATAAGTACCCAAGTCACTTAAGTTAGCATGGAGCTATGGAATGCGAATAGAGAGATGTTGTTTCAGCCAGGCGGCTTATCGACAAGTATAGAAATGCCATGCGTGTGACAGGTGGTAGCGCTCACGTGGAGAAATCTAGTACTGAACTAGACACTTTAAAAGTGCTCATGTTTGAAAGTGATATTACTATAAAAAAACGCCGCGTGTATATACGGAATTACTTCCAGTGATTAAGGATAACCGAGGTGCAGTTGGAATCCGGTATATATGAGCAAATGGTGGAGCTTTGGATCTTGCAAGAGGAGCGAAGTGAATGCTCCGCATATCCCATGTAACGTGTTGCGTGGATGGGGGATTCCTGGTGAGAAATACCGCAAGCATACCTTCTAAGCGAGCATCAAGCTGTCTGTGAGTCTGTGCTGTTGAGTTATTCTAACCCTTTGCGAAAAGGAGGGGGCAAAAACAGGTTGTTCTTAGTCATAACACGACGAGTTGAATGCAATCACCTTTACGAGCACCAAGTATCCTAATCGAGGGCAATGTCCCTTTGGAAGAAGGTATTAAAAGACCGGCTGTCGACTACCTATGTACATCCTACTCCCTCAACAACTCTTCAATCTTTCCTCCTTCCTCCTCACACACCAACCACTCCTTAATCTTCCGACTTTGTTAACCATAACCAATTAAGATGGTTTCTAATTATCTTTCTGGGCTCGCAGTTCTGCTTGCCTTCTCCTCTGGAGCCTTGGCACAGATTACAACGCCGTGCACTTACCAAGAGTATCTTTGTGGTTCAACCCTTCTCACCAACGGTGCGCCATAGCTTCTTAAAAATCTTGATTGTTATTAAGGCCTTCACTAACATTCTGTATAGGATATGTTACTACTGATTTGAGGACCGCATATGCCCTGAACCCGAACAACCCGGTCATCCCAGACGCCCAGCTTTCCAAGGTTCTTTTCCGCTGCACGGATACTGTGGGTACGATTGTCGGTAACTCCTTCTGCATCGTGGGTTGCGGAGTGGTGGGCGATAATCTGGTCGATGATCAGTGCACAATGTAGATTGGACTTAATGGTTGTCGGGAACCGTACGCTGGTGGGTGTCTGGGAACGGTAGTGAGGCGATTGTTGCTACTCTTTTTCCTCATTCTCATGGGGTTTTTTAACGAGGGCGACGTTTAATATAATTGATTCCAATGAACTTGCTATCGTACTGCCCCCTTTGTGACTTGATGATGTGAAACTTTTTGCTCGTTCTTTGGCGGTCGCACTTTCGAACGTACTGCTACAAAGTAGAGATGAGAGCTGGAAGTTTTGACATCTTTGTAATTACTATGTTGATGTCTTCCGCTTCTCTGAGGTTGTTCCAGACTCCCACCATACGTATACTGCGTTCTGAAAGTCTTAGAATCAAATTAATAAGGTAAGGCCCTCTTAATTCTCAGGAACCTTTCGCTAGTCCGTTACTGGCTGATATCAGAGTTGGAGAATGATGCCTGAGTGGTATTAAAAGAGTTAAATTGAATATAGGTCAGTGCTAGAATAAGAAATTATCTACCCCTAGAAGCATATCGGCTATCTAGAGAACAACCCAGCCTGGAATTTATATTCGGCCAAAGATTGAAACCACAGGAAAGTCGCCGTATTCCCCACCGCAAGTGGCTACCGGGCCAGTAACCACATTACAAGGAGTGGAACACTGGTAGTTGATACCAAGATGGGTATATTGGAAAGCATTGAGCACGTTTCCGCACGTACAAATCGACTGCCCCGTCCCACTTGTGCCAAGAGAGAGGTAGAGGGTTGGGCCTCCAGGTTGCCCAACACAGTAGGCTGCGCAGTCGTCGAGTGTTGTGAGTACAATCTGACCCGTATAGGGCTCTAGCCCGTAGTTTTCATCTTGGTTAGCAAGGTAACAACCGAGATAGCCATAGTTTGTTGTGTATCCGGCTGAATCACCTTGCGGTCCTTGAGGGCCTTGCACGCCTTGTTGCCCCTGAATACCTGGTATACCTTGAGGCCCTTGTGGTCCAGCGTCTCCCTGCAAGCCCTGCAAACCCTGGAGGCCTTGTGGTCCTGATTCACCTGGTAGGCCTTGTGATCCAGGTTCTCCTTGATCGCCTTTCTCGCCTTGTTGGCCTTCTGGTCCTGACTCGCCTTGAAGACCTTGTAAACCTTGTAGTCCTGGATCGCCTTGATCTCCCTTCTCGCCTGGGACGCCTTGCAAACCTTGTGGACCCGTTTCACCTGGTAAGCCTTGTGATCCAGGTTCTCCTTGATCGCCTTTCTCGCCTTGCTGGCCTTGTATTCCTGGTTCGCCTTGAAGACCTTGTGAACCTTGTAGTCCCGGATCGCCTTGATCTCCCTTCTCACCTGGGACACCTTGCAAACCTTGCAAGCCCTGCTCACCCTGCAGTCCTTGTAGGCCTTGGAGACCTTGGGACCCTGGAATCCCTTGGTCTCCCTTCTCGCCTTGCTGGCCCTGTGGTCCCGGGCCGCCTTGGTCTCCTTTTGCTCCTGGGGCACCTTGTAAGCCTGCTGGCCCCGGTGCTCCTTGTAGGCCTTGTGGTCCTGGTTGCCCTGACACTCCTGGTACTCCTGGTACTCCAGGTACTCCTGGTTGCCCTGCTGCTCCTTGTAGGCCTTGTGGTCCTTGTTGCCCGTCCCTTCCATTTGTGCCAGGCTCGCCGTTTCGGCCATTCGTGCCCGGTTCACCTTTTTGGCCATTTAAGCCCGGTGTACCGTTTTTGCCATCTCTGCCTGGGTTCCCGTCCCTTCCCGGCGAACCATTTAAGCCCGGTGTACCGTTTCTGCCATCTCTACCTGGGTTCCCGTCCCTTCCTGGCGTACCATTTGTGCCCGGTGTACCGTTTCTTCCGTCTCTGCCTGGGGCCCCGTCCCTTCCTGGTGGACCTGGCGGACCTGGCGGACCCGGCGGACCCGGTGTACCCTGCAAAACCTGGACAACACGTACGTTTTCCGATGTTGAAGTTCCTTGTAACGTCGATAACCTGGAGAAATCTGGTGAACCAGGGCTCCCAGACTTGGCGACTTGCTCCCTTGAACTAGGAATTGCCGATTGGCCTTGTCTCACAGGAGATTCTGCTGGCTCTGGCGCCTTTGAACTTCCAGCTGGAGAGCCAGAGTTGCCCAGACTGGTTGGACTTCCGTATTTATTGAATGGCGGACCAGCGGGACCGGGGAGTCCTAACTCCCCTGACGACCCGACAGGAATAAGAACATAGGCTCCACGAAAGTCTGAGCAACTATTGCTCTCTACATCGCGAGCCTCCAAGGAAGGAGTGATGATATGAGCTGATGGCTTCGCATCTCTAGCCCCTAGCGGTGTCTGTGATGCAGAGGCGGTGGTAATTGGACGTTTCTGCAAGCATCGAGACACTGTATTGCGTTAGTAAATGCCACGAGAAACTTCAAGATGGCGATGCTTACGGGGAACCAGTTCAAGGTGAATTCGGATGCATTCGTTGGATAGCCTAGAGGTATCGAAGACGGCAAAAACAACGTTTGAACTGGACAGGCAAAAGAGAGCCGTGGGAGATGCAAAGTCCGAACTGAGCCATTGCAATTCATCGCCATCCTGGAAAAACCCGCCGCTGATAGTTCCATTCGAGGACCCCCCTAATAGTGGCTGACGCTGTATGCCGGGCTCGGTGGAAACTATATGTTTGCCTGTATGCAGCTGGTCGCCGATGAGTCGGAACTCGGTTGCATACTGGCAGGCGCTGGATATACCAAAAGGAGTGATGTATAACGGTTCAATCTCCCGCGCAGCATCCTTCAAGGGATGGAATGGGTTCAATAGGAGTAGAAACTCTTTAGGGCTATTGTCGTCTGGAGCGGTGGCATGGACTCTAGCCGGCTTGGGTGAGTTATGTTGCAAAACCTGGAGGTTGATCCTGCTAGAAGACACTTACCTTTCCACGTGAGAGTTTGATAGACGCGTATCATTAACAGGTCCATCTTGGTTGAAGGAATCAGTCGCAATAGCCAATGACGCGCCGAGACCAAAGTAGCTCAAGAACAGGACCAGCAGGGACCTCATTTTGGTGGGTGTTTTCATGGCTGAGCCTCATTTGACGCGGACCTTGCTAAAAAACCGCCAAAAAGGGGATGTTGGTATGGGCGAGAGTTCCTGTACGGCTCACATGCTTGCTAGGGGTCTTCTCTTTGTAGATTCCTATCTCTGCTTGTGTATTTTGATTCATAAGGTCAATACACCTTCTCAACCCCTCGTGTTGGCTTGCATGCGACATTCCTATTAGACATTTGAAGACACCCTGCAGGGTGTGCTTAGATGAGGGATAAATAATCAAAAACTAATGAAACAAATAAGGGAGGTTAGGACAGTGTCTAAGAGATCACACCACGCCGCCCAAGCGAGAAACATAAACCTTGGCCCAGGGTTACTCTCCCATGCCCAGCACAGGAAGTTGTTGAACTAGAAGACCAAGAATAAATCTCATGTTCCTGGCCCTCTTGGGGACCGTCTAACCTCACATCCACGTGGCCGGATCATCCGTGATCTATAGTAGGCACATACCTCCTCCCACATTTCTTTGATATAGCCACAACATTCCGCGGAGAAATTATAGTGCAACGCATTCCAAAGGGGAACATCTGTGCAATGAACTCATTCCTTAAACCAGTGCATTGGCAAGAGAACAAGAAAAAAGTCAGCCGCCTAGGTTTTCTTAAATCTCTTCAGCCATCTTTCCATGTTGACATCATGCTCTTCCGTCCCATTGTCGATAGACCGAATTCCAAAACATTGCGCGGGACGCTATGGCAACCGAACTCTAAAACTCGGTAACCAAATTAAGCTCATCTTGTGAGATCACTGTTCTCGAAAGTTCTCGAATGAGTCCCACGAGGGATAGTCTCTCAGCACATAGGTGGCGGGGGCATGCCGTGAGTTCCGCAGATAATGTTGGTGACATTGATGAAAGCCTATACCTGCCGTCTCTTGCCTTTGAGAACACTAAACCTCGGGCTATTTCTGACAGGAAGACGACTGAATATGATGGGCTGGTGGTATCACTGATTCTAATGTGAGGCTCAGTGTGAATATGAAGCCACTCAATCATAGGTACATTTAACCATGTTTTCAGTTCATAAGTAAAGTTAATGGATATATTAGTTAACAAATAGATGCCAACTTAGCAGTTACAATTAGTCACTTACGCTGATATGTTGCTATAAGTTTAATATTATTTTCTAACTGAAAAGAAATTCATAACTAATATAGGAGCTGCTATGGAAATATAATAACAACACCCTGATAAGAATGACGAGGGAATATTACCACCCTAGTCATACTGGAAAACACCCCGCGCTTCGTAGGTAATTCTGCAACAGGAGTCACTGCATCCTGTGCGTGATCGCCGAGTGCTATCGCAGCACTGCCACTAAGTGGTGACATTGTCGGCTGCTGTGCCGTGCTCGGGAACTGGGGATTATACCTGGTCGCTGTGATCGTGTTATTTCGACAATTACAGATGAAGACTCTCTTGTGCGTATTCCACCCGCTTTTCGACACAGCTTTTCGAGGATTTCATAAACCTATTCCTCTTAAGAGGCACATTCGATTGAAAAAGATCTATTATATTGTGGTTTTGGGAGAGCGCAAGCCAACGCCAGTAATCGCTTGATAGGGGGTAAGCAGAATGCTGGGGGTCCAGTAGAATAGGGTGGGATTGGACAGGTTAGACAGGGGTAGAGGTGTTTCTGATCAACAGAGGATGTTAATAATATGATCTGCATCCCCCAGACAAAATGGGGCAAGTTCCTCACTGCGAGATCACTTTACGGGACCATTGTCAACCGGTCCATCAATCATCATCGCCATCATGTGGCTCATTGATGCCAAAACGACCCGCCTCGTCCACGTCAATGACGTGGCCGACAAACCGCGGTACGCGATTCTATCGCACACCTGGGGCGAGGGCGAGGTGTCATTTCGCGATATGTCCGCTCGCAGCTCCCGGATTTCGAGGAAGCCCCAGCGCAGGCCGGCCTGGTCCAAGATCGAGAACTCGTGCCGGCTGGCCCTGAGCTACAAGTGCGACTACGTCTGGATCGACACCTGCTGCATCGACAACTCCAGCAGCTCCGAGCTGCAGCAGGCCATTAATTCAATGTTCCGGTGGTACGAGCGGGCGGAGATTTGCTTTGTCCACCTCGCGGATGTCTCCGTCGACAAGGATCACAACAGGCTCAAGTCGGCGTTTCGTGACTCCCGCTGGTTCAAGAGAGGATGGACTCTCCAGGAACTGCTGGCGCCTTCGACTCTGGTGTTTTACGACCGGACGTGGAGTGTTATTGGCGCCAAGGATGACGCTGATCTCCGAGGGTCCATCTCGGAGGTGACAGGGATCGATGAGTACTATCTTAATCCAGCAAACAGGATCGTGTTCACCAGTGTCCATCAATGGCTCTCTCGTGCAAGTGTCGCGGAGAGGCTGTCTTGGGCGGCTGGGAGGGAGACCACCCGGGCTGAAGACATGGCCTACTGCTTGCTCGGTATATTCGATATCAACATGCCCATGCTATATGGGGAAGGTATCAAGGCATTCAGAAGACTCCAAGAAGAAATCATGAAAGTCGATGATGACTGCTCGCTCCTCTGCTGGGGCTACGACATGGCACAAGAAGCGCTGACACTTTTCGAGGATGAATCGTCAATCCTGGCTCCTCACCCAAAATACTTCAAGAACTGCCGCGGAATCAAGCCCTGTACTCTTCCAGGATACATGATGCCTTCTTTCTCTCTTAATCAGAGAGGATTGAAAATCAAGGCACCGATCCTTGACGACATCACACATGCCCACCTCTCCTATGTAGTATTAGGTTGTGGCTTCGTCCCTGAAACTGATAGAGGCAGCGAACAAGACAAAGCAGGTTCGAGATTATTCGTCTCTCTTCCACTTGTCTCTAACGGGGCCTGCAAGAGTAGAACGGGCGATGTAGAGACACAGCAAGGAGAGTATCATCGACCTACTTGGTGCAGGCCGACATTGGTCTCCATGAAATTTTTGAAAAAGGCCAAATTAAAGGAGCTTCTTATACGGAGAGCTGCTTCTAAATCGGCCGTTACGATACGGAGATGCCCGTTCCGCCTCCTGTTCCAAAACTCACCACTGTTCAAGACCGAACATGTGGTGGCCATTTACCCACCCCAGCCCATACCTGGCGCTCTGGCCTCACTGGGCAGAAAGGCAATGCACCAGACGGGTTTCTGGGACGACTCTGACAAAAGAAACCCCCTTTCGGACAGTTATGTACGGAAGATACGCTCTGACAACAGTAGTTCAGAAGGCGACGATCCGGACAACCAGCTACTCAGCGACGTGCAAGTCATGATTCATCTGAAATTCTCAGCCAGCGAGATGTTTCTTGTTACTGTAGAGTTGGGAGACTCGATTGGGCACAGAATCTTCAGATGTCGCCTGTACCAGTGTGCCAAGCAGTTGGGATTCGAAGATTTGCATGCACTATCAATATCCCAGGACTATGACCAGCTCCGGATATTGGGGTGTGACCACATGGGTGGTTATTTCAGTTTCAAGATGAATGACGAGTCAAGCGTGGCGGTTGAAGCTATGTATACTAGTATGAGCGATATTGATAGGGTGATAATTGGGGTTCATGAGAAAGGGACCACTTCATGAGTTGTATACGGATAGGATAATGAATCTTGATACCAAATTTAATTAAACCAAGTCTATCCGAAAACTTTTCCTCGGATAGTACTGAGCGATTCGGTACTAGATTCGTCGCTTGTAAATGAAGGAATCAAGACAACAGTAATCATGTGAATTTAAAACCCGAATTCGAATAATCACCAAACACCGACAATTTCCTTCGAAGAGATCGATCTATCTATCAAGGCTGCCCTCTAAAGGGACACTCCTAAGTATCTATATCTATTTCTATGATGCAGGACGTTCCGACTCCATCTCTATTTCTCTAATGAAAATCTAAGCTTCTATGCCCATCCGATTTTAAACAAACGATAACCGCTTTCGTCGCCTCGCCCAATGCCATTACTCTTTTCTAGTCGTTCAGCATGCAAAATCGTAAGTCGTCGTCCATCCTTGCCTCCCGGCCTGTCGATCGCGCTAAACGCAGCCTCGACCGTCTCGCTCACACCTTCGAAGCGCCCATTCTGCCGGACGGTCGCGACGAGCCACAGGGTACCATCGGGCCCAAGAATCCGCGTGCTGCAGTCTCGCAGCCATGCAGCATGCTCGGGTGCATACACCACGTCTGTGGCAATCAACATGTCGGCAGGGGCATCCAGAGGATGTTCTAGGTTGGGAGATGCCCAGTCCAGTAAGGCTGCCTCGATGGGGCCCTCGTCCAGGCGGGGGAAATTGGTCTTGATGTTGGAGCGGAGGTTTTCCAGCACAGCCGGATGGTAGTCAGTCGCAATGACAGTCGGATCCAGAATCCCCAGATGTGGCAGGAGTTTGGCCATGACGAGACCGACCAAACCTGTGCCGGCACCCAGCTCAATGATGCGTGGGCAGGCGCCGAGCGAGGACGTGGTAAGGCCAAAACGAGCAGGTTCCTGGCAGAGGAGTTTAGAGACCACAATGGAGGCGCCCCAGCTCTGAAGTCCAACATCGTCGGGTTGCGACGAGTCCATCCCGGCAAGTCCATCGTTTAGTCGAACGTCAACAGTCATGGGGCCGTGTGAGTCATCCTTGGTGATGGGAAACGAGAACTCGCGCGCGTAATCAGCGAGCTCTTCTTGCATTTGCTGGTCCTGGTCGGCGGTGCTGGCGAAGAAGGATTCGAGAACCCACGAGGCCTGGTCGATGGCGCGCTGCCGTGAGTCGTCAGAGGTGAAGCATTCGAGCATCTCTGAACGGGCGATGAAGCCTGTCAGCCATCGCTCGGCGTGACTGCGCTCAAAGTGGTCGGCGCGCAGAGCAGCCAGCCTGTCCTCACGGTCGTCATCCTCGTCGCCTTCTGTTGCCGAGACGTAACCAGAGTCGACGAGCGAGTCGGCGACAGACAGAACCTTCCTGTGGCCGTCGCTGGCGTCGTCAAAGGGGAACGCGAAGGGACAGTATAGGGCAGATAGGCCCTGGAGCGCTGAAAAGACCTGCTCCTCAGTGCTGCACTCGAGCGTCCGCAGGGGTGGCAGGCTGCTCGTTGGAGGCAGCGGGGACCCCACAGGTCTCATCTGGGGGACAAATGAAGAGCAAGAATCGAAGAACCTGTCTCAACCTCCAACGCTGGATACCGAAGATCCCTCTCGAGAGACGATATGAGCTGTGGAGCCCTGGTCGATAGACGTCGAGGCGAAGAGCGGGAGCGAGGCGGAGAGGAGGGAGAAAAACTCGCAACTCGGTGGACACTTGCACACAAATTTTGTGCTTGCTCGTCCTACTCAGGCCGCCTTTTCTAGGTTGAGTCTTGCTCACCTTCCCGCCGGCAACTAGCGCAGCAACGGCGATAAGAGCCCACCGATCAGAATTTTGCGTCCAGTATTATTTGTTAATTCTCCCCCTAGCTCCAGGGGCAAAGTAAGGAACTAGCCTAGCCTATCTCTCGGTCTCTGGCTAGCGTGTGGACCGGCCACGTGGGTCATCATAGATTTCCGTTGGGCCTTTGTCGTGCCAAGTGAGTCCTTCCCAAAGTGGCTATGTTTAGAAGTCATCGCCAGTTCAAAAGCAACTTGGCAAATCACTTGTCAACTCTCCTTTAAAACAGCGTCAGCTTGCTAAACCTAGAAAATAAACACCTGTTTGGTCTGATGAAAAGAAAACTTTAATTTTCGTTATTTTCGTTGCCTGTCCTGTACCACATGTACTTTTGACTCAAACAACCTTGCCTCCACTCAGTAAGCTGACCTTACTACCTGTGCACGCCACCTTGCCAGCTATAACATATCTTAAGTATTATTTGGCTATTGCCAAGATGTTTTTTTTCTTCAATTCGTATCAAGTGCCATTCAAAACTTAAATCTTGCTTATTTGGCGATGGGCGGATTCAGGAAAGGATACATGAAGAATCTTATTGACTAGCTGTAGTCATAGGGTTACCTAAAGGCCATGACTCATTCGCCGGAAATTCGATATGTTGAAATATAACATTTCAAATTCTTCCTTTTATCCAATTTACGATGACTGGGAGGTATAGCGGAAAAGGCCCAGTAATTGAGCCTTGTTACCGGCTCAACAACGCCGTCAAGTTCAAAGGGGCCCGACAACATCTCTGTAATCAATATCACGAGCTGGCCAGGCGCCCATCTTGGTGATCATGCCGACCAGAGAACCCTCCTCTCCGGTCTGGTGCTTGCCCCAGATCTCTTGAGCAAACGCCGCCAGCATGTCAGTTCCGTTGAGAAGGGCACCGCTCGTCCACAGCTTGCCATCGTTGACATAGCGCTTCTCAATCCAGTTCGTCTTGGGGCTCTGCTGTCGGAGGAGCGGCAGCATGAACCGAGGCCCGGTGGCTGTCTTGCCGTCAAGGAGGCCGGCCAGGCGTGGCACCTCGACGCCGCCGCAGATGGTCAAGAACGCGGTGCACTCTCCCCAAGCCTTGCGAACGTATTCCAGTTCGACTTCGCTAGGCTGATAGCCCATGGTGTGGGCGCCGATGAGGACAATGTCCAGAGGAGGTGCGCTTTCGAAGGAGTCCTGCATATACCGGTAAGTTTATCCCAGGGTCACCCGCGTTAGAAACTAGATAGAGGCTACGTACGGTTGGCTCAAGTTTGATTCCAGCAGTGAGATTCATGGGCTTCGCTGGGCCAGATTCAGAGACCCAGTGGAAACGAAAGTCAATGGCCTGGGCCTTAACCTGGGGTGAGACTATCTCATCAGGGAGCTCGTTGGCAAATACTTTGCCAAGCCCGCTGAAGAAGTCGATAGGTGCAACATCGAGGATCTCAGTGACGCTGAATTGGAGTGATATTAGTTGATTGTATAATCTGAAGAAGTTGCGTTACACACCCGTTCATCAGAATGACACCGACGTGCACGGGTCGCTGAGGGTTAGAGAGGTTCAATGGGGCAGACATTGTGGATAGTTCAAAGGTTGCAATTGAAAATGTTTGAGTAGAGCTTCTTGATTGTTTGCTTAGATGTAGTTTCGAATGACAGAAACCATTTTCTAACACCCTTCTTATATGAAGTGAGTTTCGAGGGTTGCCGAGACATTCCGGCAATAGTCGGTGGAATTGCCTCCCGGCAGAAGTCACTTGCGAAAGGGTGGCGCCATCACGAGCCCGACACACTTCGGCCGTCAATGGCTCGAATTAGTCGTAAGTATTGATAACTTATCACTGCACAGCCGAAATTATTCGGCTTGGAATGAATCATGTGGGTAAATTTTCAGTTACGGCTATGAATCTACTGCTGTATGTTGACTTTCTTAGTTGGGTAGTAGCTTTAGATACTCACTACATTTTTGCCTGATGAAACTTATAAAACAAGGAGAAAAAAGCACAGAACCCCTAAGTTTTGACACCGTAACAAAATCTTTGGTTTAATGAATGTAGCCCTTCCGACTTTTCATCCAGCGATTTGAGCGAGTTGCTCAGCCCCTCCAGTCGGTGCGCGATAGCGACGAACATGCCCTCTTGATATTACAGACCATTAGCACTATTTACATCCGAGCAAGAGCGGACTGGAGGGGATCCGTGTGAGTTCGGGGGAACAAACCTTCGGCGTGCCAGAGAATATGACAATGGAACGGCCAGACGCCAGGGTTGTCAGCAAGAATCCGAAGAACAACGTGGGAGTGGCCGTGTATGGTAATGGTGTCCCTCCTTAAAGGGTTTTCATAATTCCAAGTTGTCGTCCCACTCCCAAATTCTCCAGAGCCTTCCCCAACTACTTGGAAATTCTGCCCTAGAACATAGGATATATATCAGTCTCTGTGGATTACTGAGGAGGTTGAATGAGAAGTTGATATGTTACCACTATGTACATTGTGAGTCCATATCAAAAACGAAAATTACTTGGGGGGACGGCTTACTGCAAATGAAACGGGTGCATCATCATAGACCCGGAGTTCATGACTATTTGTGCGGTTTTGCCCGAATCCCTTGAGACCAGGACCAACTGATTCTTCCCGAAGTCCCATTTCGGAGACTGGGCATTGAGGTTTTGGATTGAAAAGTCCTGCTCAGGGACTTTCCATATGGTTGCATTGCCCTCCAGGGGCGAGAAATATGTCTGGAACCGAAGTTAGATTCATGATGCGTAATAACTAAGAAGCAGGATGCAACTATTCGAAGATCATACATCGTTGACAGATGTGCGTACAACGCCATTTTCACTCTTACGCTGAAACGTAAAGTAGTGATGATTCTTTTCACCAACATGGTATGCATCGCACTTTCTCATCGGTTTAGGAAGATTGAACGGCAGATCTCGACAGCTGAGGGTCCAAGGCTCGTTGGCGATTCCCTCAATGATCGGGGCCTCAAGATCCCAAGGTGACCCGATAGGGGTTGCGCCCGGGTCTGCATCGCTGTACGACATGATGCCTGTGGCCTCGAAGTTAAAGGGAGCCAGGTTGGTTCTCCCAAGTGCCGGAAGGGTGAAACAAGAAGTATCGGCGGTTGCACGTATCCGATAATTCCCTACTGTTTGATTAGCAGCCATGACGACTGAATAGCGCTGACCAGGATTAACGAAAACCCTTGTTGATGGGATAGGTTCAACCTCAACTCCATCAATTTCGACCATCTCCAAGGTATGGTTGTCAACAGAAAACCAAAAAGGGGTTGCGGTGCTGTGGCTTATCAGCCTGAATCGAATTCGTTCCCCAGCGTTGACCCGAGTGCGAAAAATAGAACCAGCCTTGCAATTTTTAGGTTGCTCTCTTGTGACATTGTTGAAATTCAGAGACTTGGAAGAGGAGCAGTTCGAAACGTGCATTCCATTGAGAAGCAGGTTATCAGGAGGGGGCACCATCCCGAACATGGTACCCCAAGATGGATTGGGACTTAGATAGTCGGAAGCAATCTGCAATCTTGTCAGCCGTGTACAAATCAAATATCATAAATACGCATTGGTATGACCTACCAGTTCAGCATTTTGATGAAACAGGTCCCCGAACATCATGATCTTCTCGTCAGCTACTGATGGAACCTTTTCATCGGGATCATGAATGATCTGAAAATATTTAGCCCACATGGCTATATACATTAAATAAAAATGCAATAGAGCAACTTAAGATTCGGTCTTACCAATGGCCCATAGAGTCCGTCTGTGTACTGAGCTGAGACATGGGAATGATACCAGAATGTACCTCGCTGCCCCGTCACATTGAACCGGTACGTAAAGTTGCCGCCAGGGGGGATCCCGCACTGAGAAATACCGTAGGCGCCGTCCATCCAGCTGGTATTTCTCTGGTCAATACCATGCCAATGTACAGTTGTGCTTGCATCGGGCATGAAGTTGTTGACAGTAATGCGGAGCACATCTCCTGTGTTGGCCTCAATGAGGGGCCCTGGCGACTGGCCATTCACGAGAATCATGGGCTTTTCAAACCCATCTGGGGCATAGCTCTCGCGTGTGAGGTTGAGCACGTACTCGCGAGTGGTGGGTTCACTAGAAACCACAAAGCCTGTCTGCAGATCCAGCTGCTCGGCTTGGGTGGGATTGACCTTCGTGGCAGTAATGCCAGGTCGCTTGGCGAGGTCATTTCCTTGACTCTGGTCCCCGTGTTCGTGATAAGCGCCATCGAAGATGGTCGGGGATCCTGTCTGCTGGCGAAATGTATGTAAAAGCAAGAAAGCGCTGGGGGCGAGCAGCGAGAAAGAGCAGACGATGAGCCACCCTACCCAGCCAATTGCCGACTGGCCTTTATGGCGCACCTTGGTGAAGGTGATCCTGACATCTCGCTCAGGAGGATCACAATTCCGTGTTGCAGGCTGTTCTTGTTGGCCTTGACGCGATTCGTCAAAGCCAAGCGAGGCACGCCTTCTGGCACTCATTTCTCTGTGATGTGTTGGATGACAAAAGGTAGATTTACGGTTGGCCGAGAGGCCAGCCCACGCTTTTGCACCTGTTTCATGGGAAGGGGGGCTTGAACGAAGCGGACAAGCAAGTTGCGTTGAGATCGGGCCATTCTGATATCAGTCGACGCGTAACACATCAATGCGACTTTCCTTTCCAGGCCCGGTGACGATCTATTAAATCCAGAGACACCGGCAGATGTTATGTCCTAGACATAGTCTAGAAGTGTCGACAAAGAAATCGCTTGTGTGGGAGAAGGTATTGTAAATCACGTTCGTATGATTGGGTCCAATTGCACATCTAGAGCCAAGACTGGTGCAAAGGCTCATCCTTCGCCCACGTAAAGACTAACCCACAAAGCATCAAACACCACTACCTGTAATGCAACGCTTCATGTTACGTATGCCCTTGAGCAACAGGCTTGCGACGGCGGCAGGGGTGATAAAGTGGGGAGAAGGGGTTACCGAGTCTCATACAGCTGTATTGGAAACTCCAATTTCTCATTTTTGCTTATGATTGTTCATTTCCATGGCTCGTCATGATCTGTACACCTGTTCCGCCGTGACAGCGATGGCGGTAGGACGAGCTCGCCATCACCGCCTCTGTTCTTGCCCCCGGCGATAGCGATACATACTTGTGATGAGCTACACGTAGTTTGCGCTCTCATAGATACCAAAGGTGAATAATTTTCAGCGAGCCCTCATACTTAGAAGCTAGATGTGTATGAGGTCAACCGATTGCCCAAGGATGTGGACCAAGGTGTATCGTGCGGTGTAACTCGGGACTGTCTGCCTTCTGCTCTACCTGGAGAAGAAAACAGCAGAAAATGTAAATCGGGACATCAATGGTATCGAATTTGACACAATTTTCAGTCGGCGAATTGGCCGAAACCTGGTTATTTGGCATATCAACGAACTGGAGGAGAGCATTTGGCCTACAATGTTCGCCGCCAGACCAAAGCTGCCAACATTTGTCGCTAACTCTGATTCTTGGGCTCAAGTTTTCTCAATCTTATTCTGTTATGAACTCCTGTGAACTTGATTCCTATATCCCATGTTGAGCAGCTAAGATATCCCCAACGTCAAGTCGCAAAACATATCAGGGCCAAGCAATTGATGCTCGACCTTGGACCGATGGTAGGAGGCCCGCCAACGTTCAGATAATTCAAGCAATAGCAATAGCAATAACAGGTGGAACAAAACAAATTCCCAGTAATTAAATTCATACATAGGGGGAAGCTAACTAAACGTACTAGATGTATGGTGGCAGCTAGGTGACGAGGTGATGCGGAATTGGGCTGACTACAGAGTCCGACACTCGTGGTAGAGGATTTCCGGTTGTCCAAGTGGCAACACTTGCTAGCAGGTGTTGGCAGGCGTCAACATGCGGATAAAAAATCTAAAATTATTGAAGTAGAAACGTAGAAAAGAAGCTGTTGGCCTGTGTTTTGCGCTCAATTCACGCTTTCCCCATTGAACCTTTCTAGCATACCGATCTCTCACATTAGATTGTTCAAAAGTCTCTCGATCCCGCCATTAAAAATCGAGCCCTTCGATCTTTTGTAAGGAGAAACATGGAATCAGCTATGAAAATCAGCCATACAACTGCGCCCAGTGGGTGACAGGTCGCACTTCTCTTCCAGCGCGTATGACATTCGAGATGCTTACTCTGATCATTGGCGCTCCACACGACGCTGCAATTACGAATTCCCTTACGATCTTACAAATCGCCGAATTGTAAGATTCATCTGCAGCATTTGTCAGTAGACTCATGCAGGCAAGTGGCGGGATAGTAAACGATACATCTCTCTCTCATGGGGGGTGTAGCTAAGACTCGGCTTATGCAGCCAAACTCCAATCTTGATGGGAACAACAAGATCGCAAGAAGACTCCAACCTTGGTAACAAGAAATTCAAAATGAAGAATCGGCACAAGGGTCAAAAGACAGCCCCTAGAAGTGATCAATCATGTATTGGACTCGAGTGGCAAGGCGGTTCGGAGTGATTACCTAGGACGACAACTCATCCACGGTAGGCTTCATTTCCAGCTCCGCAAGATATCACTGTTTGCATCGTATGCTTGACGGCTAAAAATAAAGCTTCAGGGACGTCTCGATTGATTTTCACCTAGGTAGAATACAGCCCCCCTGTTGACGAATATACTGGCATCACCTATGCATATTGACTTGATTATCGGGTCCATTTCTAACCGCGAGGACTACACCACCCCGATCAACACATGTCGATGTCGCATTAAGCATCCATCATACATTAAGCACCCCTCATAAGCAATCGGAGAGTTTTGAAATTTTCTTTCCTCCGAGAGGCCCGTATACGAACTTTTGGGTCACATCTCAGGCCCAGCTTGGACACCGAACTGGTTTTATCCGGTGCTTACACCGACCCTAGCCCTTGCTGGACTATTACTATTACATCCTCACGAGGTATGTTGGCTGAGTAAATGATTTTTAAGAGTTAGTCACCGAGCCACCGAGTTGGCGAAGCTGTTTGGGGATTCAGGTGTCCCATTTCATCGACCATGAGACCGGCTCAGGGCTCCTCCCCATCAGCACCAGAGGACGTGCAAGCTTCCCAGACACTTAGGCCCGCCGATTTAAACCAGCCCCGCGAGTTAATATGTCGAGATCGTCGATCTAGGGAAGATCCACGTAGTGTGTGTAAGGACATGGGTACCAAGGGCAGCCGCCCAGGGGCGTCATCCTGGATGACAATCCTACCCTTCACCGTACTGTCCTCCTCTGCGTGGCTCTACACCTACCCCCTTGCTCACCGCGGGCTGCGCTCCTACCGAGATACGGCGATGATAAGGGGCGGGGAAACATGCAGCGGAGGAAGGGAGGGTTCTGCGCACAGCCGCGGTAGTGTTATCAGTTGAACGAAGACCATATCTCCTCGATGATGCAACGGTCGACAATGTTGCTATCTTTCGCTGACTGAATTTATTAGAGGGTCTTCTATCAAGTTAGAAGGCACAGATAAGGTCATAAGAGATGAATATTATAGAATTTCTACCCAGAGAGAACCCTTCGTCTTTAGTATACACTTCACTTAGCCATCAAGGAGAAAGGAAGGTAGCGTAGACTTGAATGAAGACCCGTGGCGGGTTATCGCTAGTATTGAGTGGAATTTCAGAAATAAAGAAATCAATAGGGATATCTCAACTTGACGACGCTCGTAAAACCATGCTAAACCGATATCTGGTATCGTAAATCCTTCGACTTCCCGGCCTTTTTGTCCCCGTACTCGCACGATATGCCCTCATCCTCGATTATCCTCGTCGGGGGCGCGCCCTGGCCCTCCAGCGCGGCCTCTATCCACCTCCAGAGCTTCCCGTCCGCGATGAACTTCTTGTTCATCTCCGCCATCATGGTCAGCTTCTGCGCCACGGCCACCCTGTCGATGTTCTCGATCGTCCGGCTGCCGCGCCCCGTTGGGACGTACGTGTCCACCTGCTTATGGCACCACTCGAACATCTCGAGCTCGTACCTCAGCTGCTTGTTCTCCGGCCCCGTGTCGGCCACCTCGGCGAAGAGCTCCGGCAGGTTGGAGAGCGTGAGGCGGTCCCTCGGCTGCCCGTTCACCATCTCAAAGAGCTTCTCGAAATCGTAGACTGCGCGCATGGATCGCATGCGGACGAGCCGCTGGAAGAAGAGCATCTGATCCGCGCGCTCCCATATCCGCTTGTCAAACGGCCGTCCCATGCCCGCCGCCTGTTCAAACCCGTTCCGGAAGGCAATTATGAGGCGCGTGTCCATTGTGTACGGTGCGATGTCGCGCGGTCCTGGTGTGACGAGGGCGTCGGGCACCGGCACAGAACATGCCCCGCCCCAGTTGACGATGCATGAAATGTTCAGCTTGTCATCAACGAAGACGTTGTCGAAATTCAGGTCCGGGTGGGCGAGCGGGAAGCCTCCGCTCTCGTCACATGTCCTCGGCCGGATCATGCTTGGGATCATGTCGCGCATGAGCTGGGCGGCTATGCAGAACTGCAGACGGTTGCTGCCCTGCTCCGCCTTCTTGTCGAAACCTATGTAGTCGCTCCACCGCAGCGAGGCGTCCCTGTATTTGTCGTAGCTGTCGTACTCAACCGGGTCGGGCACAGGCGCGAAGAAGCTCCGCGAGCCCATGTCGAGCCTCTTTGTGTGAAGGCTGTACGCCGTCACGAGGGCGTCGAGGTACTCGCTCTCTGTGTCAAACGGCCCTCTGGCGATCCTGTCCAGCGAATCCCTTCCTCGCCAGGTGAGGCCCGGGGCGAGACACTCCTCGATAGAATAGTACCCAGACCCGTCCTGGACAAGCGAGCCGATCTTGCTGAACCGGTGGCGTGCGAGTTCGCTGCTGAGAGCACCGAGCTGGTGCATGACCTTGATCCTACCGTTGTCAGAGATGTCCCGGAGCCTCTTGGCGGCGGGGAGCTTGCTCTGCGAGGCGTGGTCGACCCAGCCGTAGGTGGAGAGCTTCCGGCCGGGGGCCTTGCTCATGAGCATGAAGGGGACCCCAATCTCATTTGTCCAGTTGGCTCTGTCCAACCCCGCAAAGAGTCAGTTGGGATTCTTTGGTGAGAGGAATGATGACGAGGCGGGAGGAGGGGGAGCAAGACTCGGAGGAATAGGGAAGGCAGCGCGGTGCAGCTGTCACGCAATACTCACTCATATGCATACACTTGCGGGACGGGAATGCGTGTGTGTGCTTTTACGAATGCGAGGGTCGCGACCTCGCTCACAATCAGGCGGGAAGCCGTCCATCTCTTCAATTGGGAGTGGCCCGTATGCGGCACGCGAAATACCCACTCGATCCCATCGGCGAAGGTGAGAAGAAGATACCAATTGAGGTCATCGGAAGACGGTTTGGCGGTCCTGTCACAACTGCAAGGCTGCCCGCGAAGCTTGGATGCCAGGGCAAGGAGGGCTGTCAGGGAAAACGCGGCGAAGTGGAAGATGCTTTGCTTGCTTGGATCCATGTGTGAGGACGGGGGCTCTGGTGGTTGATTGATCGGTGCCTCCTGTAGGCGTTTTCGTGGGGACGCGAAGCTGTCAACGATGGTCTGGCAGCAGGTTACGCAATATATAGGCAGAGGAGGGGATTTGATGTGATGTAAGTGGGAGGAGAATGGGGAGGGCCCTGCTCATATCTAAAAGTAGGGGTTCCAGCAGTCTGGGTCAATCGGTTGGTTGCTACTCTCACCCCCCAGACGATTGGGTAGTTGAAGGCAACACTCTTTTTTTCTTGTGTCTGAGGAATCAAATCCTTCTGTTGGCTTGAGATGCCTAATAAGATTGGGACGGATGTGCATCCACCGTGGAGATTTCCCAACTGCTGGCCCAGTAAAAGACTGCAGCACGATGGTATCATGCATGTGCTTCGTACATATACCGACCCAGCCCGGTGATTTTCGGCTGGGTCAAAGAATCAATGGATCGGTTTAGTGCATCTGGCACCGGGCAGCTTGTACTCAATGTACATGTACGCATGATCTTTCGCTGGGGGTGCTGGCAACCCATGTCTCATGCACCAGCTGAAGCAGCAGCTAGCTTGGGCATGATCACCGGGTCTGGTTACGACTGCAGGTTCTGAGCTGCTTAGACTGCCAAGTTGACACGCCAATGGGCAGGCGTGATATCCAATTGGCCTTTTCCTTGTCGCCACCACTCCCTAGAATAATCTAGCGAAGCTTGCTTGCCTGGGAGGGTGGTGGACCGCTGGGCCATGCGATCTGCGCAGTGCGTACAACCGCCAATGCGACGGTCCTTCTAGCTTCCCATCACGGAGCGATGCCCCGGACTGTGCTCTCAAGCTTCCCTCCTGCTCCCCCCGCTTGTCCCGCGTTGTTCTCCCTGGGCTAGCAGGTAAAGGGGGGACGCTATCTGGCGGCTAGCTGAGCCTTGGCTCGCCTCGTTTACGGCTCCCCATGCCATGGGTCAGTTTGGCCTGATTCTTGGGTCGCTCATGAGTCGGGTTGGTCGTCATGTCGCATTTTGAAGCTGGCTAGAGCTTCCAGTCTGGAGCTCACCGACCGTGCCTCTCGGCCAGCGTTGATACCCGAGCCTGCTAAACCCCCAAAGTCCGATTGCCAGAGTCGACTCGTCAGATTGAGTGTCTGGGTTAAACGAGTGGGCTCGCCGGTCCTTACTGGATCGGGACTGGAAAGTAAGGAGACGCATGCATGCTGGTTGCTTTGCTGGTGAAGGGCATCTGCCTCCCCCTTACCGGAACTTTTTCTCCTCATTATCGTCGTTGCTTTTGCCAACGGGGAGTGGTAGCCCCTTGAGCGGAAAAAGCACCGTTTCTTACCACACGCATCACGGGGAAGCAGGCAGCATTAAGCGCACGATGCAGCATGGGGGCCTCCCAAAGACCTTGATGACCTCCACGCACACGCCTCTTAGCTAGGCTGTACTATTACATTGGAACCGGCCCGCTGGCGCCGTGGTACATCTTGTGTCACCGATGCGATTGTTTGACGTTGGATGTCCCCTGCTTTCGGTCGCCATCCTGCTGCCACCGGCCTTCGAGCTAGATGGCCATGGCCGCTAGGAGAAAGAAATTAGCGAGCGCCCGCTTTCTCTCCTAGATATCCCAAGCCTTGCCCATGCCTTTGCCCATGCTCTTAAGGCGTCAGCACATCGGTTATTTGGTGACCGCTTCCGGTTACTACTGGGTCTGCCCCCCCCGGCTTCCTGCATTGGACACCCGCCCAAGTCCACGCACGCCCATGGTTTGCTGTGCCGTTGGCTGCTGACCAAACATATCACTTCATATAGGTAGCGAGGTCTATATGTTGGTGTGCCAGTACGCGCGCTGATTGGCGTGCTTGTTCCCTTTCTGCAGGGATCCGACAAGGTGAGCTCTGGCCCAGCACCAACATGTCCAGCCACGCTGGCAGCGGATGTGAGATTCGGGTTAGCGACATGCTCCAATGCGGCACGGGAACCATCCGATGCGCCTTGCGGGCTGGTGGGTATATTGATTGGTTCCCTTCCCCTGGGTGAGTATTGCAGCGCCCTTTGCCAGTAATGATCATCTCGAGCGTCTCAGGCGAGGCGAGCAGACAAGACGAGGCGATCCTTTACAATGGCACCTTGGGATCCTAGGTAGGCAGGCAAGTTCCGTTGCTTCATACCGCTACTTTGAGAGAGCGACGGTTCCGACCTCCTTGTCCCTATCCTTGTCTAGTCCAGTGATAAGTTGGACGCTGACACGATCGACCAGCAGCGCTGAAGGCCTCTTCAAGTTATCACATGGCGTACGCCAAAGGACGCCCGAAGCCCTCGGGAACGCGCCGTGATGCACCAGAGACATACCACTGGTATTGCCCGCTTATTGCCGAAATCCATCGACTTCTCTGCCATGAAGCTCTGTGACTACCGCTGCCCCTGATTCAATTTGGCGCCTGGCAGCCTAGAGCCCAAAAACTCGAACCCTTGCAGATGCGTAGAGTGGCTTTATTAGTGCCCTAGCGGCAACTAGGCCTATGATCCGGGACTCCCGACAAGCCCAACAATGCTTGTCCAAATGAAATATATGCCGGATTTTAATCCTATCCTTTAAACTGGTCAACTAACTAATCTGGTCATACTAACTAATAGAAGTAAAGACCAAGTGCAAAGTTACTAGATGCTTCTCATGCGAAGGTTTAGATTGCAGTGCTTAGTGGGTGCCATTCAACTGTTATAATTGTGTCCATCTCCCCGACGAACCCTATAACTCTCATATTCGAAAGAAGAGGGGGGGAGAGAGAATGTGCTAGTGAGTGTAATTTTGCGTTCATTTTCCTTATTCACTCCTTTATCTATTATGGACTAAGATGCCAGTGAAGTGCATCGTGAAGTTTTCATCGTCATCCATGGGACTCAATGAGCATGATACCTTGCAAAGTGTTATGACTCTGACCTTTCTAAATAGAGAAGCTCATTTATATAGAATACCTAAGTTATTTGAGTAAAAAATTGCTCGTATGTAAGATGGGGGGACTGCATGAATTTGTTCCGACTCGTGGCTGTTCTTTGATTGCGGCTCTCGAGATATCGGTCAAACTATGCTACACAGATTGCGAACATATACTTTCGGGGTTCGTATAATTCGGAAATCAACGTTTTGATCCGATTAAAGTCAATTTAATCTAGAGGAAGAAGTATTATACAAAAGTCCTTGTTGGACAGTTGTATGTATAATGGGTGTGAAGAATGAAGCTTCTTGGTAATGGAATACCCGAAAAAGTCTATGAGTACTTTTAAATAAATTTCATTCTTGGGTATATCCATCTCATGTATATCCATCTCATGTTAAGCCGAAGAATACATCTTCTCGGGTTTTGAGCAGGCAGAGCTACTTGTTGAAAACAGAACATCGGCTCGGCATATCAGGGCACGGTTGCGTTGAACGGCGAACACTATATACATGAAGTTAAAACTAATAACATTGAATCTTCTAGACTCTCTTCGTATTACTTTTTCTATTTTTAAACTCATTTCATAATTTGATAGCCGGCTTCTGAATAAGCAGTGATTTACCTCGCCAAGGAGACTTTCGTTCCTGGCGCTCAAACAGAATGTCAACAGCAAAACGAGTGGAAAATTCCGGACTTGGTTCCTGTAAAGCCCTGTATTTACTATGCCGCCCTTAGCCTCTCTCGTAATTGTTTTTCTCTTACTTTCACAGCTCTCCCATGGAGATAATAAGATATGTACACCGTGTTCGCGTGTTGAGATCAATTCTGTGGTGGGATTGATGCTAAATAATTGATCCCCAATTAGAAAACATTACCAACCTTTTCTCGGCAATTGATGAAGACCAAACTACGAAACAATACTTGTTGTGGATGGGACATCTTGACTCCAAGCCATGATTGACGGCGGTCTGAAACCCCACATTTTGATTTCCCAGATGTCTGGTACTAAGATATACGGCCAGCCTCATTACATCATGGGCGGTAGTGATTCATCATTGCTTGGTAGGCTATCCCCATGCTTCATATACCAGAAAAAGTTGCCGGATAGGCTCGCGATGAGATTGCCAGAGCATCGGATCGGGCGGATCGGACACGGGCGCGACTCTGTCCCGAGTTCAAAAGTACTGTGCCAGGGCTACCAGCCGACATCCTACATAGGTACGGTGTCGGGATGGGGTGATAATGAGGTGTAACCCTCTCTCACCTGCATGAAAATGATCTCATTTTTTCGAGCACCGTCGCGATGGGGGTAGCAGTTGTTGGTGCCTCCCTGCATGCATTGCCCAATTCCCTCAGGGATGTCACTCCGGCCCAGCCTGACGCTTTCCCGGTCCCTTCCAGGCAGTTGTTGCATGAAGGCGGGGAAGATGTAACGCTAGAACAGAAGAGCCGAAGCTCATCAGTGGCTTTGTGCGGAGTAAACCTACTCGGGCGCTCTCCTTACCAGCTCGGTCCACGTCGATCAATCAGTCAGTGAGCTACTCCTCTTCTCGTGATAAACTTGCCGAGGCCGCTGGAAATCCCCCCAATTCCTGGGCA